TTAATAAAAAAAATTATATACATAAATCAAACTTTTTTTACCTGCAACGTGTAAAAATCAATTGGTACAAGCAACGTGCAATGCATGTTCGAGGGAACTACATATAGATACATAGATAGGAAAAGTATAATCCATTTAATGAAAATTTATAATCCTTTCAGATTAGGAATAAAGACCAATTTGGTCCCTAAACTTGTTTAGCAGGATAAAAAATATCAAAGTTAATTTCTTGGGCCAATTTATCTCCTGAACTTGTATAAAATGATTAAAAAGATCCAATTTAATTTTCTTGGCTAATTTAACCCTTGAACTTATTTAAAATGGTTAAAAAAATCATATTTGACATTTTGAGTCAATTTAACTCCTAATTCTTAATTATACTTACAATGTGAAAATCATTATATAGACATTTATTAAAACTATAGTTGGGATCAAGCTGTGTAATTTTTTTAAAAATTAATTAATTATAAAATATAGAAATTTTTAAAAAATTAAATTATTATAAAATATAGAAAAAAGTGACATAATGAAGTATATTGTATCTCTCTTTATCATTGATTGATGGTTTTGGTTCATAAATATGTGTATTTGAAAACATATTTTTAAAATTAACTTCTATTATTAAGTTTATCGCTTATGAAAACCTATACATTTTTTCATGTTGAATAATTAAAGTTATAATTAAAGTTATAATGCATGTTTATAATTTCAATATATTACAAGAAAAGATGTTTTTATGGATTTTAAATTTATATCATAAGTGTTGAAAAAGTTTGATTTAAATGTTTTTAGTATAGGACAAAAAGATGTAAAATTAAATCAATTATTAATTTATAAAAATCAAAATAAGTTCAAGTGTTAAATTAGCCTAAAAAGAGAAATTGAATCTTCTTAATCATTTTATATAAGTTTAAGAGTTAAATTGGCCCAAAACATCAAATCAGACATTTTTATTCTGCTAAACAAGTTCATGGACCAAATTGCCATTTATTCCTTTAGATTAATTGGAATTGAAATAAGAAGGAAAGAAATCAGAAATGCAAAAGAAGAAGAATTAAATTCGTGTATTAAAATGTTTGTTTATGTATTTATTAAATGTTTATGTATTTATTACAATAATCAATTCATATATAGTAACATATATATGTTACAATTTGCCACTTTATATATATATATATATATATAAGAACAATAGCTGTTTATCATGTATTGAGGCAAAGTTTAATAAACATCTACACCTTGATAGAGAATTTAAGTTGCGGTGGAGAAAAAAATCGTGCTGGCTTGTTTCATTGTTTTCTTGGCTATGGTGCCCCTCGTATTCGCACAAGTCTACTGTCCGCATCCGCCTGGCCCGTGTCCTCCGAATTCCAAAGAATGTATGATCAAATGCGAAAATAGTTGCAAAAATTTAAATTGTGTTGCTTTTTGCGCAACATATTGTTGTGCCGGTTAAAAACTTGTTGCACCAACGCAATCTGCATACATTGACGATTTGGAGTTGGAGTATCAACCTTGTAAGGCAGTAATAAAACCCAATGTCTAATGCCGGAGTTTGATGTTGGATTCATATATGAGAATAAAATTATTGTCAATTCGCTTATTGCATAATAAAATTAAATAAAAGAATGAGAATAAAATTATTGTCAATTCGCTTATTGCATAATAAAATTAAATAAAAGAGAGTAATATCATTGTTATGTTAACTTTCATCTATGTCAATTTGATCATTATAAACCTTTTTTTCTTTTCTTCATTTATCTTCTTGCACAATAGTTTTTATTGTATTTTTATTTTATTCTACAAGTAAAACATGGGTCCATAAATTGGTTTATGATATGAATCATTAGTTTTACAATAATAATATTATAATATATATAACTTTACCGGAATCTAGGACTAAAAGTGTACGGATAAATCATGTAAGAAATTTAATTACTACTAGATTGATAAGTTCAGGGTATTCAGGATATAAAGTTTGATTTATAGTAAAATCGCAATTATTCAAAGAAGTTCGGGGTGAAATTGATGGTTAGCCCTTCAAAAGTTTAATATTTATATAAATTATTTTAAATAAATTAGTTTATTTGTAGTAAATTATCTATATAAATTATAACTGTACATTGCAAAATAATTTCACTCTAGTTTTCATTGAATTGGTCAAATTTTTAAAATTTTAGGTTTTGAAATTTAAAATTTAATGTCTACATTTGATTTAAACTTCAATTTGAAATAATGGAGAAAAATCATAATGATAATAGTAATTTGGAGGACTCAGATCATAATATTTTAAGTTTAATGATTTTGTATATATGAGTTTTTTAGTTATTCTATTAATTAATTTTTGTTATAATTACACTTGGTTAGTCTACTACCATTACATTTAAGTGAAATATTACGATAAGAAAAATAATTTTGAAATTAACATTTTAATTTATCATTGTCCTAACATTTATTTATGTATTAATTTATTTTTCATATTTTTTATGTATTATATAAATAATTTGGATAAATACTTTTAATTTTTTAATTTTTTAATTTAATATAATCTAATTTTTAAACAATTTAAATAAGTGAATAAATAGGAATCCGTGGGTAATAGATACCCATAGATACTTGTAGTACCGTGGGAATATCCAAATCCATTGGATTTGATGATAGGGATAACATTTCCTACACAGTAGGATATTGGAAAAAAATATAAAAATTGGGAATGTGATTGGGTTTAGATATGGGTATTATACTATCCGACCCGAACCCTACTTACTGTGGTCCCTAATAATTACTTCAATATGTAATAAACGGATTAAAGCGAATGGATACTTGAAATATATGTCCTGCCTCCATTACTAGTCCTGTTCTTGAACAGTAGTTTTAATGGGCTGGAGAGTATAATTTAAAAATGAGCATTTTAAAAGTGAGTTAACGCTTCTATATATATATATATTATATATATATATATATATATATATATATTTAATCAACTTCTATATATCAACTTCTTCTCTTGCACTTATCCAATGTGATATTCGTCCAAATATAAGCTGATATTTCAAGTGTCAATTTCATTTTGAGATTTTGATGATTATGCAAAACAAATAAATTTAATATTTTTGTATGTGTTAAAGTTGTTTTATGCAAACTTTTAGTATGGAAGTAGCTAAAAAAGACAAATTCCTACAATCCAAGATTCTTTAAAGACCATGAAGATTATTGAAAATTTTTATAGTAGTTAGTATTTTAGGATATATTGTAGGATAGAGAGAATATTCCCTTGTAAGCACAAAATCTATTTTTATCTCTCTCAAAATCGTTTTTAAGATATTCTTGAAAAATTACCTGAAAAAGAAAAGTCAAATTTTTGCTCTTTTAATTCTACTTACCTAAATGAAAAAGATTTTGACTTAAATATTTTTGCTAACTAATAATTGAGTGTTTGTAAAAGATTCATATCTTTTTATTTTTGAAAAGTCAAAATACTCTTTAAAAGAAAAACATTAAACGGGTTTTTGTAAGAGCAAGAGTTCATTATTCAAAGTTTCAGATCTCTCAAAACTCTCTATTCAACCCTCTTTATTTTCTTTTCATCTATTTGCTTCAAGAGATTTTTCAAGACAAAAGAAAACTGGTAATAACATTTTCTGAAGAACAATTCTGCACTTTATTTTTGTTTTCAAAATATATTTTTTGTTTTTCCTATGTTTATAATTGTATTTGTCTCCGTCTATATAGATTCTTATAATCTGTTGTAGGCTAGATGCTTTTTATACGAAAAACTTTTGCTTGACAGCTTAGTTGAAAGGCTGTGTAGTAAAAGGTTATCAAACGGCCTCTCATTGTGTGAAATTCTAATGTCTTGATGTGAGTTTTTTATTCTGTACAAAATAGAACGGGTGGAGGTTGACTAAAATATCACTAAGAAGAAAATAAAACTAACTAATCTCTCCAAGAACTATCCATGCTTAAATAAAAAGAAAAATATAAAAAGAAAAAATTTCTCCCATAAAATATTGAGATAACAACTATCCCTAAATTAATGAAAAGAATATTTGAATCGATGAGGTAGATTTCTTTCACTACTTTCACGGTTATTTTTGAATAGTTTCCTTATTAAATCAGCCTCTGACCCTTTCATACAAAATATTACTCTAATGAAAAGAATATTTGAATCGATGAGGTAGATTTCTTTCACTACTTTCACGGTTATTTTTGAATAGTTTCCTTATTAAATCAGCCTCTGACCCTTTCATACAAAATATTACTCTTCATCTCACTTTCTAACGAGCATAACCCTGTATAAATCTGAGGTCTACAACCCAAGTTACAGATTAAAAATCCAAACTGGTTCTGATATAAAATCCAACTTGAGTCTGACTTTGTAATTCGATTTCATTACGGCTTTTGACTCACAAAATATTGTCATTTCACTTTTAGACCTTCATAAAAGTTATAGATGTATGTCTTAACCTTCAAATGGGTCCTATAGCACGACATTTGGACATGTAAAGCCCCAAAAAATCCTAAATTACACAACAACCGTCAGAATTATGAAAATACTGGTAATTAGTCAAATTAAAGCATTTATTCACAAAACTTGCATCAACTATACCTAATTGATAAATAAACACTAATAATTCAAAATTAGGTATAAAGTTGCAGCAAAAATATTAAGTATAATTAGACTAAAATATATAATATATACTCTCATCAAATTCCTCCACACCTAGCTTTTGCACGTCCTCTGGCAACACTAAAGCAAAAGTAATATTGAAAGAAAAAACAAAAATAGCTAAAAGTTTCCAATGAGAAAAAAGAAATTATATACTATAAATATAAAAAAAATGAGAAATCAATGAACACAACTCATTGTGAATCAAAATATCAATTGAATTATAAATTTTTTATATTCATTGTAATTTAGACGGTCAAAATAAATAAATAAAAAATAAACAATAAAGTATGAGAGATAAATAATTCACCATAACCGATTATGAAGAATGTCATCGAAGCTATTATGGCACAACAAAGAGCTTCCTTGCTTGGATATATTTTCACTGTAAAAATAAGTACTTTAAACTCTGATATTGCTACAATGCTAATTCAACTGCGTGGAATTGTCACTTGCTTTTGGTTAAATAATGATATATGCTTTTTAGTTATTTTAAAAAATTCTACGAACTTGCGGAGTATGAATTGCACGATATCAGAGGAAGTAAGCTATATGAGCAGAAACATTACCAAGACAGAAAAACAACACAGCAGAGAGCTTCCTAACCTTTAAAGCATGTCCATTCGCAAAAACCATGGGAACACAAAAGCTGTCACCAGGCACGCCATCAGAAAGTAACAAAACAGTTCTCTCCGCCAACAACTTTCAGTACCCCTATCAGATGAGCTGCTACTGGTACCAGTATATCTCCATTGAATCCAGTCTTCCATAAACCTGCTACTGGTACCAACACCTGTAATGTTCTGCGCTGCCTTCCCACAAATTTCACAAATTCTGAAAGAACAAAATTAAGAATTTTGGTTCATATTGATAACCCATGATTCATTTCAATATAAAACATCCGAAATTCTTTATTATATTCTTGGATGGGAAATGCCATGGTTAATTGAAGAAGACGGCAGGTTAAAATTTTTTTCTTACAATTCAGTAGGAATTTCTCTCCTCTTGTTTCATTTACACCAAAAAGTCCAACATTTTCAGGAAAGGAAAAAACAGTAGAACAGCATTATTTTCTTCCAGGAGTTACCAAACTTAAAAACTGAACTTCAGATCATGCTTGAGATAATGACCTTTATAGACTTTTTGAAATTCAGATAAATTGCAGAACAGCATACCCCATTTCATTGGCTAACACAAGATATATAATAAACAACTAATGATTTAGAGTCGCAACCAATCCAATCTTTATATTAAAACAAAGAATCAGAAAATACAACCTCATATTAAGACTGCTTTTAACAACAGAAAAGTTACCTTTTTCCCTTTACCTTAAACCAGGCCTCAGCACAATAAGCATGTGCAATGCCGAGCTCATTTTTACACCCACAACCTAGTCGAATTAGATCGGTACGAGAGGTAGAGGCATTGATTTCTACCAATCCCTCAGAACTCAAGTGACAGATCCTACAGACTCTTTCTTTATCCCAATCCATAGTACTTCCACCACCACTTGCACATTTCATATCAATCACATAGGATTGCTTCTCCCCTTCAGACACATTTCCTCTAGTAATAGTTACATTCTCCTCTGAAACCGGGTGACTTTCTTGCAGAACATTACTCGATTCCTCTCCAGTAATAATACTCACTATATCTCCTGAATTTATCACCATCATGATCTCAAGAATCAACTTTACATATGATCATTAATTTGTTACTCCCTCCGTCCTTAAAAAATAATTCATCTTTCTTTTTTAATTTATCCCCAAAAAAATAGTCCACCTTTCCTTTTTGATTTATCCCAAAATATAGTCCACTTTTCTTTTTTGCATAATAGTTAATTCTTAAATTATTTATTATACCCTTATTAAATTTTATCTTATTTTCAATAATTCTTATCAATTCTTACTTATTATTCCAATATAATAATTACACATGTGTTATTTAAGATGGACATATTATAAAAGTTATATGAATAAAATTATCATTTCGCCATAATAATTGCTACTTTCTTAATATGTGTGAAAAATAGAGAGTGGACTATCTTTTTGGAACATGAATAGTATAAATTAATGAGACTAAAGTCTAAATTTTAACCTTCTCAAAAAAAGTCTAAATTTTAAATTATATATTTTAACAAAAGTCTAAATTTTAACCTTCTCAAAAAAAGTCTAAATTTTAAATTATATATTTTAACAACAATTTCAAATAAGACAATTTGGAATTTAAGTGATTTCAATGAATATAACAAATCTTACAAGGAGAAAAACTACAAGGTCCACAAAAATCAATTTTCATATATATTTTTTTTAACATCCATTGTTTAAAACCTAAAAGATTCATAATGACGGAAGCTTTTGCTCGTCGAGCTATATTTTTTTATTATTAAAGATTACAATCCGGTCAAGAGGTTGCAAAGATTGACAAAAAAATAAATCTATTATTAATATTATATTTATTAATAATATTATAATATTAATTAATAACATTATAATATTAATTAATAACATTACATTATATATTTTATGTATTAAATATTATATTAAAATGTTATAGTACATTCGGCATAATCTATTAATAAGTGTATATACGACTGACAATACTCAAAAATTCTCATTATAAAATAAAGAGATTAACCTATGGGTTATAGCTCAGTTGGCGACGCATGTAGTGGGTATATGGGAAATGCTCTCGGATTTGATCCCACTAAACACACCTGTAGGTAGGCATGGCCACCGGTTCGATTCGAATTGAAACCAAATTAGAATCGAACCGTACTGCAGACGAACCAAAATCGGACCAGAAATCGAGGGTTCAAAATTTTAAATCAAGGGCCGATTAAAAATATAAATCGGAACCGAAGGTTAACCGGCTGTTTCGGTCCGGTTCAAATCGAAAATTTTCTATTTTTATTTTCAAAATGATAATCACTTAGCCTATTTTATACATCTCTAAAAGTCTCAATACTATTATACTACATGATATACTTTACTTAAGAATTTTTTTTTAAATACACTTTACTTTAAAAGTTAAAAATCTAAAAAGTAAAATGATAAAAAAATAAAATGATAAAAAAAAAGAGGAAATATTTAGTCTAAACTTATATTATTTTTTAACTTTTTTTACCCTCTTAAATGTAAAAATTGTTTGCAATTTTTAAAAATTACATTCTTTAAAGCATCTTTCAAATTTCTTATAATTTATAAAATTAATAACATTTAAACAAAATAAAGTGATAATGTTATTTTGATTATTTGTAAAATTAATTAATTTTATTCTTATATGGTATAAGCATTCTAAAATTTATTTAAAATTAAAATTACCAATAATTTTTTTAAAATTTCATTATTTAATATGTATTAATATGTACGAAAGAAAGATATAACATTAAAACCGACTCTTTTTAAAAAAAACATATATCGCAAGAGACCGTAAACAGAATTGTCGATTCATCGGAACCGCGCTGGAACCGGAACCGGAACCGACGGTTCAAGGGCCGGTTCAGATTCAACATTTTAAAAAATTTGAACCGTCGGTTCCGTGAAATAGAACCGACGGTTCAATGAACCGACCATGCCTACCTGCAGGAAAGGGCAAAGAGTCTTAACTGTGACTAAGTTCCAAGCTGAACCTAGTTGATACCTGATAATAAGTTGCAGATACCAGTCATTTAAAAAATAAAATAAAGATTTAAAAAATAAAATAAAGAGATTGGAAGAGAATTCTTGTCGGTAAAGAGACTGGGAGTGAAATTTCTTTTTCCCTTAGTGGTAAAATCAATTTTCATTATTCTCTTTATTGTTTTCATTCTCTATGGGAGAAAGAAAAGGAAAAAATAATGACAATCTTTTAAATAACCTTTTATGTATTAACTTAACTTACTTCAGGCAAGTAATGCAATTGGTTCAAATACTTTGAAATTAATTGAAATCCCTCATCACATAACACAAAACACAAATTTTAATTATTAGAAACCAAGCCAAAGGTTATACCCAATATTTATCTGGAGAGCAAAAGAGCAATAAGGACAAAAATATAGAAAGAGACTCATGACTATTTGATGAGTATTTAATAATGGCAAAAGTACAATAGTAAGAATAATAATGAAATCCTGGAATTTTCCCATGGATAATATATAAAAAATATTATAAGACCTTCAACTCAAGCAAAAAACATAAAGAGTTTAAAAAGTAAATGATTTTTATTTATTAATAAAGAGTTTAAAAAGTAAATGATTTTTATTTATTAATTAATACATCTAACAAAAAGTTTCATTTTCCATTTGAATTATCAGTAAAAACATTATGAGAAGCATTATCAAAGAATCCCTTTGGCTTTGTAAATTTGGTGATTAGGTGGAAAATCATTAGTTTATCGGAGCTACTAGGGTGTGCAAATCATCCGATAAAACTGAACTAAAAATCTATCCATTCGGTTTAATCAGTCACTTGAAGAGAAGTCCAGTTGGTCGATTTATTCGGTTTGAACCAAAATTGTTATTGAACTTGGTTGTACAAAAATTAATCTATCAGGTTCAAAACCAAATCAGTAAAGTAAAAACCGATCAAACTCCTAGAAAAGTTTTATTAGCAATTAAGAAACTTAAAAACATGACCTTTCTACCATGGTTCAATATATTTTTCAAAGCAAGTACGATTACAACTTTGTTTTAGGTCAAAAGCATTTTCCTAATTAATTTGAAATCCTCATATCAACACGCATTTAATGTACGTGATTATCATCTTTAACCCTCAATTAAAAGCTAGATGGAAAAACTCAGATAGATAAATTCAAAGGCTTAAATATGTATTTTTATAAATAAAAATGATAATTAATTTTTAAAAAAGAAAATTTTAATTATCATATGTCCAAAAAATAGAAAAGCATAGGATGTATGCTATATTTATTGTATGATATATAATTGACATTTTAACAATTACTATAATATCAATTTTGGTTCCATTAATGATCATATTTTTATTTTTTTTTGGTGCTTTTTGCTGAATTGAATTTTGGCTGATGAAGAATGGAGCATGGAGAGCATTGATCTTTGTTACTGAGGCTTCTTTTGTTTCTGTAAAATAACTTATAGAAAAAATATTTTTCTGCAAGTTATTTTCTAACGTTTGGTTATCACATGAAAAATCACTTGGAAAATATTTTTCGGTGTATGATACAACATTAAAAAAATTTTAATTTTCTACCATATAAATAATGCAATTACACATATTATATTTCACATAAATCTAATAAATATATGCAAATTCATAAGAAAAAAAATAAAAGGTGAAATATCATAAAAAAAAAAACATTTTTAATATTTTACTGTAATTTCATAAAGTTCAAACCAAAATTCATACAATACTTAAAACATAGTCCAAGAAACAATAAAAATAACATTAGTCTAAGAAGTAATAAAACTATTCATATAATATTCTCTCTCCGAAACCGCATTAAACGTGGTTCTTTAGATATATGGAATTCTTGTTCATATTTTGATATCATTGTTATAATATTCTCTCTCCGAAACCGCATTAAACGTGGTTCTTTAGATATATGGAATTCTTGTTCATATTTTGATATCATTGCACCACTCACTGCTGTAATACTTGCAGCTACACCCATACAAGCAGCACGAATGGATTTGTCATCCACTTACAAAGCAAAGCAAAAAAATAAAATAATAATAATAATAATAATAATAATAATAATAGAGCAAGAGGACTTCTATTATTATAAGAGAATGGAAATAGAAACTATAAGAAATTTTAAGACAATGGAAATAGTACATCTAAGCATAAATTCCCTTAGAATATTTACCATCTAAGTATTAAAGAATTTGTTTCGTTTGAGGGGATTAAATTGTTAAGGATAGGAGAGAATCCACCATCAATTCAAGAAACAATATCAATAAAAGAGAACAAAGTCTCAAAGACATTCAGTTGAATATTAACCATGCATTGCCTGAATTAACAGCAAAAAATTTCAATAAAAATACAAATATTTTCGAAAAAAATTTCAATAAAAATACAAATATTTTCGAATTTTCAAACAAAATTATTTAAACTGCAGTCTTTAATTAAAGTAAAATTTATTTAGCAAAAAGTTATTATATCTACATGGGTGAAAATTAGTTTATAGTGATTTATAGTTTTATAATTTGAGTATGATAAAAAGAGGGAGAGATGAAATTTACATTCTAAATTTCATGCTTGTAGTTTATCTTTTGAGTTGGTGAAAACACTAGTTGTTGAAAGAATTCGAATTTTAAACTTTTTACTCTTCATATAATTGAAAAGATAAATCAAACAACACCAAATTGGATACAAATAACCCGCATATGTATCGTGAAGCAAATTCTCAGCAGATTTCCTGGCTGATATGGCGAGCTCCTTCTCTTTAGGGGTCCATGTCTTAGAGACATCTCCCCTAGGTCTTGATCTGTGGCTGTTGCATGATGTAAGTGGGGTCTCCCACCCTAGAGATTATAATTGATTTTCTTTTTAGGGCTATGCCCTTTACCCTTGTAACCAAAAAGAGAAAAAAAAAAAAATGGCAACTAGAGCAACCAATTTAAAAATTGAAAAAGTTCTTTTTATCTTTTATGTTTGCTTCAACTTGAAGTTAGGATTGACGGAGATGTGAGTAAACCATAAAAATAAAGTATCAAACCAGCTTTAGATCTAAAAGTATTTCTAATAGGTCAAAATATATATTTTATATATAAGAGTTCAAAATGTGCTCCAGTATGCAAAATAAACATTTGCAGTCCAACACAATTCAAGATTTGCAATCAGTATTTGAACATTTTTAATATTCAACCTAAGTCATGCTTCCAGGCAGTTAAATTTACCGGTAAATATTACCATCATTATTAATTTTTTGTGTGCAAGTTGTCATTTTTTGTCCTTTTTTCTTGTATTTCTACATATTGCAACCAATTTGTCGTTTATGTTAATGATTTAGCTACAAGGAAGAAGCCAAAAAGGAGCATGGTGCTTAGAAAATTTCCATTTAAGAGAAAATTGCAAATAGGTGCACATGGAAGAGATAGAATTGCAAAGTGTAAATACTGTAAAAATATATAATGTTACCATAGAAGGTAAAAATTGACAATAATAACCTATGACCGATCCTGAAAGCAAAAAAAAAAGATCCTGAAAGCAAAAAAAAACAAAAATTTTAGAAAAAGAAATGCCTTCTGGATCAGAAAAAAAAAAAAATCCCAATTTGAATACTATATTCCAATGCTAAAAATGAAATATACAAACACAATTTAATTTGTAACTATCCTCACATAGTGTAAGATGATTTGTACTGCTGCACTATAAAAAGACAAATACCACTCACTTGCAAATTATTATTCATTCCCTTGTTGATGATGTAAGCATTACAACGTCCCAAAAATTAGCAAGAAAATAAAAATTTAAGCCTATGATTTAGAGTGATCTCACATAATTAAAACTTGTGTTATGAACTCTGTCAAGGCTACATATAATTTTTTGTGAGGATTATATCATAATCATCAAAACTTTAATATTTACATTTTAATATAATTATGCCTCTCATCGAGAGCTATATCATGACCATGTTATTTTTTATATTTCACTTTGACCAGAGGACATAATTAATTACTAAAATGTGAAAATACAGGTCATAATAGCCTATCGCGCAAATTAAGGGATCCGCAAAATAATTGCTGAAAAAACAGAAATCAAATTTATGTATTAAACAATTAAAACTCCCAATATAACCAAAAAAAAAAAAAAAAAAAAGAAGTAAAAAAAAAAAAAAAAAGAGTAGAACATCTAAACTTAATGATTTACAATCAACTTTTGGGAGAGAAAATCTGACAAAGGAATTCAAATCAAAACTGAACCATGGTCATCCATGATCATCTTTATAAGCCAAGCCAAGCCAAAGTGCTTTTCACATGAAATTCCCTCCTTTTATCCATTTTTTTGTTTTTTCTTTTTCTTTTTTATTTTTGCTTTTCATATTCGGCTTTTGACTTGCGAGTCTAGAGACATAAATTTCACATTTTCTAAAAATAATTGAACATAGAGTTTAATTTTTAAATATTTTAAAAGCATACTGAACAACTCTTCTTGAAAAGGAATCTAATTATTATATACTACATGATTGTTATAAATGCTTACAAAATCAACAAGGACAATGATTAATGAAAAAATATATATAGTTATATATTTCAGCTAAGATAAAAGATATTAGATAAAAAGATATTCTGAGACAAAAAAGATATATATGAAATCCTTTTTAATATTATTGTCAATGGGTTACAATCTTTTTAACAATATTTATGGGCAACTTGCAACCTCTAAATATAGAAAAATGAAAATCATAGCCCTTTTTTTTTTATGCCAATAATTTTATACACCTTACAATTCTTTCTATCTTCTTTTTAAATTTAATCTCTTTTCTTTTTCTTTTAATTTATAACAGCAAATATTACAAATTGGGAGTAGTAAGGCACTTCAAAAGTGTTTTTTTTTTTCTTTCCTGTTTTGCGTGTAGACAGTCATCACAGCACATTTTTTTGCTTTGGATCTATTTATTGTCCTCTGTTCGCTTGTTTTCCATGTGGATTTTACTTTTACTGTGACTTTTTCTATAATCGACTTTTTTCTTTACGTGGCAAATTATATTTTTTTCACATAAATCTTAAAATCATTCTTTTTTTTTTTTTTTTTCGTTGCTTACCATATAGTGCCAGTAGACTAATGTTAAGGATAATATCAAAATAATATTATGAAAATCTGTTGAGATTAATTTTATTTAAGTGCAGATATCTGCATAGAATTTGATATTTCTGAGAATTTGATATTTTTGTTATTAGGATTGATGATTCTTAGGAGTATTTTTAAATCTTATTTGATTCACTTGTAAGCCTATAAATAGGCACATTCTTTTGTTAATTCAATGAAGTGGAAAACATGAAGTGCTAAACATTGTTAATCATCTTGTGCATTTTCATTCTTCCTTCCAAAATTTCAACATGGTATCAGAGCCTGTCCGTTAAATGGCTACAAACACTATTCCATTTTTTTCCTCTCCAATTTTTGTTGGTGAAAATTATCAGCTATAGGCTGTTAAAATGAAAGCTTATTTACAAGCTTATGACTTATGGGAGCATGTTAAAACAGAAAAAAAAGCCAAAATCAAAAAAGCAAAAACCTGCTTCATATTCAAAAAAAGATTGCAGGTATAAAAATCAATCAAATTTTGTGCAAGCGGAAGGAACCTGGCTCTTCTTTGAGTATTGGAGAGAATGCTCCAAGAGAAATATTGGAGAGATGTGCTCCAAACTAAAAGAAAGTGATGAGAAGTTGCATCAATCATTTGGAAGAGAAGTGCTTCAAAAAAAAAATAAAAAAAATTGCTAGTTTGATGAGAAGTTGCAATCAATATTTTGGTGAGAAGTGCATCACAAATGATGAGTTGGAGAGAGGTGCTTCAACAAAGTTAATTGAAGAGAAGTGCTCAAATGCTAGATTAAAATTTTTAATTGTTAAATTATTGTAATAAAATATTATGTTTGAAATAAGAGAGAATGTTAAGGATTAATTCAAATAATATTATGAAAATCTGTTGAGATTTCAATTTTATTTAGTACAGATATTCTGCATAGAATTTGATATTCTGTATTAGATGGAAGATTTTTTAGGAGTATTTTAAGATATTCCTTTGATTCACTTGTAAGCTATAAATAGCACCATTCTTTTGTTAATTAAAAAAGTGCAAAACATGCAGTGCAAAACATGAAGTGCTAAACATTGTTAATCATCTTGTGCATTTCCATTCTTCCTTCCAAAATTTCAACAACTAATCCACACCATAGTTAAATGAATCAGTGATTAGAAAAAGTTCATAACTAATCCACACCATAGTTAAATGAATCAGTGATTAGAAAAAGTTCATGGCATCTGACACGTATTTTCAAACACTGTGAGAAGAAATCTTTTATTAGTTCTTTGTCTATTTAATCCATCCCCTTCTACAAACCAATTCTCAGTTTCAATTTTATTAGTTCCTAATCTTCGACATATTTCCATCATCTCCATCACTAAACCATCACCGAAGCTAAAACTCCAGACCCAAACCCGATCAAACCATCATCAACCTTCAGTTTCAGTCTTCAATATATTTTATTAGCAAAGTCACCAAATCAAAAGGTGATTTGAGATCATAATCCTTTATTGGTTTCAAGTTTTTCGGGTTTTCTTGCGTGCATGAGTTAACATATAAAAAGAACACAGCCTACAACCTCATTTTAGTTTATCTTTTACCAAAATAACCAAAAAGCAAACATCTTTATTTATTTAACCAAAAAGCAAGTGATATTCCAGGCAGTTGAATTAGGATCGTAACAATATCAGAGTTTAGATTTCCACAAACTTGCATTGCTGAGTGACCTAAGTGCTTTCTTTGCAGTGAAAATGTATCCAAGCAAGGAAGCCCTTTGTTGTGCCATAATAGCTTCCATGACATTCTTCATAATCGGTTATGGTAAATTATTTATCTCTCATATTTTTTTGCTTCTTTCTTTATTTATTTTGTTCACTGTCTAAATTACAATGACTATCAAAAGTTTTCAATTAATGTACTTTGATAAAGAGAAAGTATATATTAGTTTAATATGTATGTGAGTGCGTGGAAGCATTAAGAAATAGTACAGTATTTCCTTAACAGATTGATGTCTTTTTCTAACTTTTATTTGTTTTTTATACTGTTATTCAGATGAAGTTGCATTGCTTAGAAATGTCACCTATATCATAAAAAGTTTGGAAATTACGCACGAGGAATATGATATTTTAATTATTACTACGGATATATGTGCAATCTTGGGGTGTATTATAGCTGGCATTTTATCAGATTGGAAGGGGCGCAAACTTATAATTATTAGCTCTGGTAGCTTCTTTTCAACTGGAGCAATAATGTTATATGCGGCAAATTCTTTTAAAATTTCATTGTTTGCTCGTATCATTTTCGGCTTCGGGATTGGCTTTGGCCTATCAACCACTCCAGTGTATATTGCAGAGTGGTCTTCGCCACTTGTACGAGGTTTCCTCTGCTCATTTCCCGAGGTCAGTTCTTTAACTAATTCATTATTTTATTGATGATGCGTATGTCTTTATAAATGATAGTTATTTTAAATGATTTTTCAGGTATTATATAATATGGGGTATGTTTTAGCTCTTTTATTTTATCGGGCATTCGAAAAGCATTCTAGTGACTTCAACTGGCGGTATTCAATGGCTTTTTCTGCTATCCCATCTTTACTAATGACGCTAGCTATGTTGATCATCATGCCAGAGTCAGCAAATTGGCTAATAGTACAAGGTCGATTTGCTGATGCTTATGCTGTTGTAACTAGATTTGCAACTACTGACGATGAGATCATTAATAGAATGATTGGCTTTCAAAGTGAAATCGGCATTCACATTAACATAGAAAACAATGCTGCCATCGTTCCTTTACAGATCCGAGGAAATAGAATAGCTTGGCGTCAGTTATTATCTCCATCTTTACGTGATGTTTTCTTATCATTTATAATTTTATATGCATTGCATGGGGCAATAGGAAGAAACAATATCATTTTTTATGCCATTAAAATCTTAGTATTTACAGGGGTAAAATCTAAATGGACTCAATTAACAGTTATATTGATTTTGCTCTTGAGGACATTCGTCATGGTAATTCCAATTTTAAGACTGGACAAGGATGGACGTCGCCGATTGTTATTTATTAGCATTCACCTTATGACTTATTCATTGATGTTACTTGGATGCTCATTTTTTATCTTTCATCCTCACCATGAAAAGGATTTTAAGGTCAGTGAAGCTGTAATTAGTTTGTTCTTTATAATAATCTTTTTCGTAGCATTTTCTATAGGCTTAGCTGTAATTAGTTTGTTCTTTATAATAATCTTTTTCGTAGCATTTTCTATAGGCTTAGGACCCATCACCTGGATATATGGTCCAGAAATTCTTTCTCATAGATTACGCGCCCAAGGTGTTAGCATTGGAGTTCTAAGTAATAGAGTGATCAATTTTATGGCGTTGATGATATACCCTCAACTGATTCACAGGATCACTTACGGAGGAGTTTTTCTAGTGTATACTATTATTCTTGTTGCTGGTTTTTTATTTATCTTTGAAATTGTTCAAGAAACCCAACCCCAAAATAACCTTCAACTATAGGAGTGGAACTAACTAGCAAGCCATAAACACAATGTTAACCAACAACGATCGGCCTTGGAACTGGAATTACGAACTGGAATTACCATATCAAGAGGTATCGATTGAGATTTTACTCCTGCAAATATTCCATATTGCTCGATGCAATGCATAATGAGAAAGCACAATGTGTTGTGTAGTTTGGTTATTATAGAAAATTGTATTAGAGATTGTATTTGATTAATCTCAATATTAAAAGTCAAGTAATGGGTTTTTTATGTCTTGTTTTATTGTTGTATATTTGTCTTAAATCCAACCCTAAATGCACTTATCCTCTTAACTCAAAATATTTATTTATTTATAATTTATATATGGCCTAATGTTTTAATAAATCCTGAACTTCGAATGTTTTAATTATTTTAATCAATTCTTTTAATTTTTTTCAATCAATGCATACGATTTAATTTTTATTAACAATTGCGACCTTCATTCAAGACCCGTTAGAATCACGCTGACGTATCCATTAACGGATCTCACAAACTAACAACACAGCAGCTGACTAGGAAATCCACTGGAACACCCCTCTTATCAATGACAACACAAAATGTCGGCATTTTATGTTTTTGGGTTTTGTTCTCTGATGGAAAACAAGCTACCAGAACAAACAATTGTAAGTTTCTAGCTTTTCCAATTGGATAAAATGCCGGCTAATAATACACCACAAGATTGCACATACGTTAGTAGTAATAATTAAAATATCACATTGCTCGTCTGTAATTTTTAAACTTTCTAAAATGTTAGGCGTTGTTGTTAATCAATGCAGATGAATTCATCTGATAACAGTATTATAAAAAAGAGAAACAAAAGTTAGAAAAGGATAAATCTCTAAAGGAAATACAGTACTATTTCTTGAAGATTCCACACATTTACACATGTATACTTTCTCTTTAGCAGAGTACATAAATTACATTGTAATTTTCCTAAAAAGAAAAATAATATGAATTTAATTAAATAAATTTAGACCACCGATAAAAATAATATGAATTTAATTAAAGAAAAATTTAGACCACCGATAAAATAAATAAATAAATAAGCAATAAAGTATGAGAGGTAAATAACTCACTGTATGACTATCTATGTGTTGGAATTGGCTAGTAAATTATTATAGTTCGGTTCTAGCTCTGGATCCTAAATCATTTGGTTTGAGTTCCAAATTTGATAACCGAATTATGGTTCTGGTTTAGGTTCTTACCAAAATTGAACCAGAACCAGAATCGGAACCCGCACCGTACTACTTCTTGATATCGCTGAAGTGTTCGCCTCCTTAACAGGCCTCTAGCTTGAGTTTGTGGCATAATGTAACAATACCAGAAATTAAATTTGATAACCATGCTAGAAATTAAATTTCTATGAACCGTGGCTCATACATAATGCAACAACTAATTTAACCTTCCAATAGCAAAAGAAACAATAAAAATACAATCCTATCCTAAATTTAACCTTTTATATAAAATTAACACCAAACCTTTTCCTCTATGCCATTCCATGCCAAGCTTCTTTATTTGATAGCTCCAGACAAGTACTTTCTCCACTAGTTTCTTTTCTGGCAATTTCTGATTCTTCCTCGAGAAAACATATTAGGTTGCAATTAAATTACACTCTATGCCATTCCATGCCAAGCTTCTTTATTTGATAGCTCCAGACAAGTACTTTCTCCACTAGTTTCTTTTCTGGCAATTTCTGATTCTTCCTCGAGAAAACATATTAGGTTGCAATTAAATTACAATTATAATTTTAAAACAAAGCAACCAATGTAATCTCTGCTTCCAGTGGAAAAGCATCACTTTTCAAAAGAACTAGTGGTACGCCAGTAAGATGTGTGGCTTAATGCTTATAAATTATTGATCTAAATTAAATTTGAATGAAAAATATAAATAAATTAATACGATGAAAATATAATATTTGTCATTTACCTTTTTTTTTCTTTTTTTTCTATGATAATAAAAATTATTAATCCAACTTTTTCTATAAATTTCAAAATGATAAAAAAAAATTCTACACTAATAAATTTAAAACAATAAACTCACATTTTTAGCTGAACTAAAGACAATAAACATAAATATGCTTTTACAAATTAAAATAATTACTCAAACTATAAAACTACCAAAATGAAAAAAAAAAAAAAAAAAAAAAAAAAAAAAAAACTTCATGAATAGTTATAAGTGGCTTTTGCTTAAGGTATTAATTTTTAAAACTGTCTAAATATATATTGAACATAAAAAAACAAAGGCCTAATGACTAAAATATATATATATATATATATGAACTTTGGCCTTTTTAATAATTTTAGCCGATTCTTTTAATTGCTACAATTAATATCGCAAAGTAATTTTTTCTTAATAATTGCGGCATCTATCTAGTAACCGTAACTACTATGTTAATGTCGACGTTATATATTGAAGGAAAAAATTCAACATACAACAAACTAACAAAAGAAAAAAAAAAAAAAAAAAAAAAAAAAAAAAAAAAAAAAAAGCAGTAACTGCACATTTTATGCAAAAATAATCATCTTGTTCATTTAAGCTACTGACTATGATTCTATATAGATACAGATATAGGTACAAAATTAAATATTTTCAAAAGCCAAATTATTTTTAAAAATTTTAAATTTTAAAAAAAAATGAAAATCAAATATCAGATAAAATAGAATATTTGTTAAGTTAGATTAGATTTCAAAACATATTGCTATTATCTAAATATTAATTTTAAAATTTAAAAATATATAACCATTCAATCAGAATATACAAAAATAAAAAAAAATCCAAAAATTCCAATTAAAAATTTTTAAAATTTAAAAATTTGAAAAAATGAAAAAAATATGAACATCCAATCAAAATATAGAAAAATAAAAAAAAAGGAAAATTCCTAAAAAAAAAGATGAAACAGAATACTCAAATAATAGAGTGCCAACTCATATCATTTTGCTTCGGAAATATATACATGTATATATATATATGGGAGGTATTACTTACAAAACAAATTGTGTTTGTTTCGGCCCAACTCAAGTTAGAATTATGCTTTCATTTGATGAATTGGGCCGGAACTGAGGTCCAGTTACTCATTGATATATACCGAAAGAAAAAAAAAAAGTTATCAATGAAGATTAAAATGAAAGAACTTGGAATCAAAATCTATACCATTAAAATGTTAAATATATAGCAATTATTTGGTAGGTGTTGAAAGATGTTTTCTTTGAAAAAGTTAAATTTGATTGGATTCCTCAACTTCTTATTTTTTTTATAACAGGTAAATAGAAAACATGAACCGACAATTATATTAATAGGATTATTCTATAACTAGATATTACCAGATAAGCTTATAAATTTGGCTGTTAATGCTGTCTGAGGTCAATTACTTGCTGAGATGGGACAATGAAGGTGTGAACCCGATGAACAAAATTTGCAAATAACAAAAATCATTACTTTTTTATATGATTATTTTTGGTAATGTTCAATTAGTGATTAAAGAGAAAGATCTTATAGGTTTTTATTTTGATCCTTGTAAGAGATACCCTTAATGAGTAATATAAGATACCCTTAATGAGTAATATATAATTTCTTTTATATATAATATATTAGAAATAGTCTTTCATGAATTCATGTCCACCTGTAACTTATGATAGAGAATCATATTCTCTTATGGATTATTTTGTTTGTCTTGCAATTTAGAAATTGTGTTAAGACTTCTAGTTTAATTTAGAAAAGAAAAAAAAGGGAAATGGGGATCAATAAAAGAAAAAAGGAGAATGGGGCTCAATAAAATCACGTGGTTGCTGACTGCTATTATCTTATAGCCAAAAATAAGAAGCATTTTGTAAGTAGTAGACATTAGCTAAAATATGACTGTAATGGCATGAATTACCTTAAAGCAGATTTTCAACCCTCTTCAAATCAACTATACTTATTCATGTTTATGCAAAAATAATTATCTTATTCATTTAAGCTACTGACCGTGTTTCTATATAGACACACATATAGGTGCAAAATTAAAGATTTTCAAATTATTTTTAAAAATTTTAAATTTTAAAAAAATGAAAATCAAATATCATATAAAATAGAATATTTGTTAAATTAGATTAGATTTCAAAACATATTGCTATGATCTAAATATTAATTTTAAAATTAAAACAATATATAACCATTTAATCAAAATATTTAAAAATAAAGAAAAATTCCAATTAAAAATTTTTAAAATTTTAAATTTTGAAAAAATGAAAATCAAATACGAAATAAAAAAAATCAAATACGAAATAAAATAGAATAATTGTTAAATTATATTAGATTTCAAAATATATTGTTATTATCTAAATATTAATTTTAAAATTAAAAAACATATAACCATTCAATAAAAATATAGGAAAATAAAGAAAAAATCTAAGAACTGCGATTAAAAATTTTCAAAATTTTAAAAAAATTAAAATCAAGTGCCAAATAAAATAGAACAGTTGCTAAGTTAGATTAGATTTCAAAATATATTGCTATTACCTAAATATCATCAATTTTAAAATTAAAAAAAAAATACAAACATCCAATCAAAATATAGAAAAATAAAAAAAATCGAAATTTTCTGAAAAAATATGAATATATATATACACGTGTGTGTGTGGGGGGGGGGGGTGTGGGGGGGGCGGGGGTAATTAAGGGGGGGGGGGGGTATTAAAAAACGTTCTTACAATAGTATGCATTCTATAATATATATGTCAATAAATCAATTAGATTTTAACTTTAGAGTAGAATTTACATTTAATCTATTAAAAAAGAAAAAGGAGAGTTAGTCCAATAAACTCACGTGGTTGTTGACCGTGTTGTAACAGAAAGCATTTTGTAAGGAGACACTAGCTAAAATTTTATTGGTATTTATAAGGATAATTTAGTCATTTTCTAATTAGAAAACTTGAAATTTTATTGGTTGATTAGTCTCATTCTAATTTAGTCAATAAAGGTAGTTTAATCTAATTCTAAATAGAAAATCCATTGAATTATAAATATAATAATAAGTTTAATTTTAATTGGTTATTATAATTTTCTATTTGAATTTAAATTCTATTAGAAAGGTTTAATTTAATTTTAAATACAAAATTTATTGAATTATATTTTTTTAATAGTAACAAAAACCAATGGACTATCTATTTTCTTAAAAAAAAAAAGTAATTTTCAAGCGGCTATGTGCAAATATGAGGGCCATCTCATAAACTAATTAACTAAAATAAGGTAATAAG